AGTGACAGCCTTTTGACACTTTCTATTCGTCTGTAATTACCACACTGCGTCGAAAACATCAACCGGTACTATCAGTTAGACCTCTCACCCGCTTTCAGTGCGTGAGACCATTAAAACTGTGCAAATGCATCGGCCTCTATTCCCGGGCATGTTTGCTTCACAAGCAAACTTTGTGGCAGACTGAATTCGATAGTGCTGCCCTGATTCATCTCGTTCTCACACTTCAGGCCTTTGCCCAGCGCTGACTCATACTCTCGTACTTTTGCACGCTCCGCTGTTGACGCCCGAAGCAAATTGATCCCTCGCGAGCTCTGATGCCAAAAACTGCACCCTGTCCTGATTGGCTGAGGACTCGGCAAGTTGCACTAAACCCGTGTGGACTGACATTTTTCCACCGACTCGACTGACTTCTGTAGTCAGCGCTTGCAGCGGCTGCTGTAAAGCTATTTTAGCTCAGTTAAGCTTTTCCAGTTGTTTCGTCTTCCCTGACTTGTGATTTTGGGATCGTTCTCTTGCCGATACAGCAAATAGCTTTGGCTCACTCTATTATTGGTAGCCTTTTTCTCGGCAATGCAAGAAATAGCTTTGTCCTTGTCCGTCTGAAAACACATATACGGCAGAGACATTTACTAGAAACACAGTGCAGCTTCTGAAACTGCAGTAAGCACTGACAAACAACGTAGAAACGGCAAGGACCCCAAAAAACACTTACGGAACTGTCAATAAACTTCGGCAGGATAAATTGTGAAGGCTTCTGGAGATTTAGTCTGCATTTTTAATGTTTGAAGTGATACATGCATAGGAGAAACTAAGCTGAAGGTACCTATCGCAGTAAACGGTGAATTCTTGATCAAACAGAGTAATGCAGGGCTGCTTACTCGCTTGTCCTCTACCGCTTTTCTGATTGGTGTTTACCGAAAAAGGCGGACACAATCAGTATTGAATACCCATCCGATGGAAGGCTGATCATAGTATGAAGCATGAAAAGATTTTTAGGGAGTTTTGAGGCGCGATGAACATGCCAATGGATGAAAAAGTGCAGTGGAGCGTGGAGATATTTGCCTTGAGCTGCTCCGACTGCGCTCTAATTATCAGCTGATAAAATAAGGAGATTTTTGTGATCACAAATAACCTCATATCCATGTCAACGGAAAGCAAATTACACCAGTGAATATATTCGCCTATTCGCGCCGAGGGAGTGCATTATTTCAAGAAATAACAAGCTTGAAGGCGAGATTCTTAGCCAAATCTCCAGACCGAATCAGGCCTTCTGTTCGTTACAACATTCCACCTGGAGCCATTGCAGCATCCTCCCCAACACAACATCGGGGAGTTGTAAGTTTTTTATCTGAGGTGAGTCCATAAAAATCAACAACGAGACGCAAACAATTCCGTGTCGACAGAATTTGCAAATTGTTCCAGTTCACTTAAACAGACAGAATGCCCGATACAAACGCTCCCAAAGGAACTATGTCCTCATTCGTTGGTGAACGTTCACCCGACTGCAAACGAAACTCTTCTGTTCTTCACTGCCTTGGACCTCGACCGAAGCTCTAACAGCCCTAGCAGCTGGTAATATTGGCACACAATATTGCCGGTAAAATTTAAGTAGAATAGAATGGCCATTTCTGGTTCATTAGCCGTCGTCAGCCAGTCAAACCCAGACCCAGGTGGTGTCCCATCCGAGCCTCGGACTCACAAACCGTTTGATCAGCGTCAAAGGCCCTAACCATTGAGCCACGAGCTAGTTGCCTTGCTGGTTTAGTTCGGGGGATGTTGGGTCTGCGTATGACTGGCTGACGACGGTTGATAATCAATAAATGGCTATTCCACTCTTCCTTGTCTTTACCGATAATAGTATCTGCCTATAATACCAGCTGCTACGGCTGACAGGGCTTCCGCCAAAACCAAAGACAGGGCGGGAGAGATGAGTTTCGTTAGCGGTCGAGTGAAGGTTCATCAACTTGTGTCAATATTCCCCCAACTAAACCGGTAAAACAACGAGCTCGTGGCTCAGTTGTTAGGATGTTTCACTCTGATCAAAAAAGGTCGCAAGTTTGGGGCTTGGATGGGACGCCACTTGGGTCTGGGTACGACTGCCTAGCGACTACTCACAACTAAGAAGTGGGCATTTTAGTCTTCCTTGTCTTTGTCAGCAATATCCTCTGCCTAATCTACCAGATTTCCTCATTAACCACACTGTAATGAGGCAAATGCCATGCTGCGCGAAAGAATTACGAGCACGTTATTTCTGCGGCAAAAACCACGCCTCTGGTCGAAGACGAAACGGCCAAAGGTGGCCCCATGTGCCTTTCAACTCCACCCGTGCTCCTGAGAAGACCGCGCGCTACGGACCTATTGCGCTACCCTAAAGTCCAATTTTCCATTTTCGAAACCACCGGAACATCTAGTGCC